ATTTTTACCCTCAGGTGGAAGTTCCCAGAGGGGATCAGAGTAGTTCCTTATAATCCTGGAAAGGTAGATCTGGATTCTGAGACATCTGGATCCAGCTAATATGTCTCCCTCTGTAATCTTGGGCAAAATTGCTTTTCAGTGCCTCAGTTTCTCTATCTTGAAACCAGGGATAAACGAATCTTGGTAGTTAGCTTGGAAATTCCTTTACCCTCAGGTGGAAGTTCCCAGAGGGGATCAGAGTAGTTCCTTATAATCCTGGAAAGGTAGATCTGGATTCTGAGACATCTGGATCCAGCTAATATGTCTCCCTCTGTAATCTTGGGCAAAATTGCTTTTCAGTGCCTCAGTTTCTCTATCTTGAAACCAGGGATAAACGAATCTTGGTAGTTAGCTTGGAAATTCCTTAGGGCAGGGACTGTCTTGTGTGTCTGTAGTGCCTCGCAGAGGCCCCCCCAAATTTTGGGTGGGATGAGTTGTGTGTGACCCGTGATCTTGGGTGGGCGTCTCTGTGTGGTGCCTGGCACAGTGGGGAGGCCATGATCTCAGTCCATGTTGGTCTGTGTGGCACACTAGGAAATGTGGGGAATTTTTTTTGGTGGGGTTAGTTGTGCAGTATCTGGTGCAATGGTGGGTTGTCCTGTTCTTTCTGTATGTAGGAGGTCATTACCGTGCCTGGGTAACTCCAGTCTCAATGGGGGGGCCTCTTAGGCTGGCAGTTTCCCTTCACTCCAGTATGAGAGTCATGTGGACATGGGTGGGGCGCAGGGCCTTTATCCTCCAGGTGACACTGGCTCTGACTGGGGTCTAAACTCCTGTGTTCCTCTGGCCTATGCCACAGGTGGCTCTCGGTTCTCAGCTCTAGAACCCATTTGCCCCTTGGAGCTGAGCAGGCACCAAGCTTTGCCCGGTGAGGTATGGGGTAGATGGGACCTAGGCATCCTGGCACTGTTATGGGGTGCATGTCAGGTGCGACCCCAGGCATCCTGGCACCATCTGGGTAGTGGGTCCAGGGTGGGACCCAGGTGTCCTAACTCCATCCAGGGTGGAGTGTGATAAGAAAGGGACCCAGGCTGTAGGTACTATGTTGGTGTCCCTAACTCTTAGGATAGTTGCTAGCAGGGATGGCTGAAATGCTGTCCAGTACCAACCCGAGACACCTCCTCCAGGCAGAGAGTGGGCAGGCTATGGTGGATGCAAGGGCCAGGCTGCTGCTTCTCTTCCTGGGGTGGTTGGATGTGGATTAGAGGCTGGCTTTGGCCCTGATTTTAACCTGGGGGGGGGGGACCCTCACCCATGGGGTTGGCATTGCTGGGAGTGGGGTCTGAACCACATTGCTCTGTTCCCCTGAGTTGCTAACCCCCCATGCAAGTGATTTTCCACAATTGCCTGGCATGCCCAGGAGAGCCTCACTTTCCCACAATGCACTGGGCTCCTACAGAAGCTCAGTGCAGAGCATCCTGGGAGGTCTAGTGGCCATAGTGTGTAGGGCCATTTGTGTCTGGCTGATCCATAGGGGGCCCCACTGAGTTTGGTGTTGTGATAGGGACCCCGATCTCCCCCTGATGTGCCAGATGCTGTGTGGATGCATGATGGCCCAGATTGGGGTCCCATTCCCCTCCTTGCCCGCACAAGCTAGCCAGTCCTTGCCTTGGGGTCAGGTGGGAGCCAGTGTCCTCTAGCAGGGAGAGGCACAATGCCCCACCTCCTGAGCCAGCCAGTCCCCGCCATAGGCCCTATTTCCCTGGGCCAACCCATATCCAGATCTCCACAGGTGCTTCTGCTGTGTTGGTTGCAGTAGGGAGTAGGGGTGTAAGAGTGTAGCCATTTAAGCAGTCAGGCTTATCAGTTACCCAAATGGCTACACTCAGTTCCTGGTCTGGCACAGTTGGCTTCTCGGCAGCAGGGTGGTAGGCAGGAGCTGGCTTAAAAGCTGGCTCCCAGTGTGCACTGGCTCCTGGGAAGCTGACTGCCGCCCTTCATGTAATTGTGAAACCGTTGTAATTTTCAGCAGTTACACTATTAGCCAATTAGATGCATTTTAACATCCCTAAGGAGGTGGGTAGGAAGTGCCACTGGCTGCCTCCCATGTGTTCTCCAGCTGCCTTGTGCCCGGGGTGAGATGGGGGCTGAGGAAGCTCTGGCATTGCTGCAACCTGGCATCAGAGCCTAGTTCAAAGGGATCTGTCTTCCACAGGCAGGGAATGCCCATTCCCTGCTCAGACCTGTATGTACGTGTGTGTGTGTGTGTGTGTATGGTGGGGGGAGGTGGGGAAAGTCCACTGGATTCCAGGGTGAATCAGCTGGGAAGCGAATTCTGGGAGGAGGCCCTTGTGGCTGGCCCTGGAGTCACGTCCTGGTGTTCCCCTTAGAGCTGGTGTAGAAGCTGGCCAAGCTGTGCGTAACCCGTGGGGCTGGGGGATTCTCGACGTTGCTAAGGGACAACAGGTGCCGAAGGCCGTGACTTGGGTGCAGCTTGAGATGGGGAAGCAGGTGGGTGGTTAAAATAGAGCAGGGAGGGTGAGGGTGGGAAAAGGTCCTGGCCAGTCCTCTTGGTCTGGAGAGGGGGCTGGAGGGGAGGCTGGATTTGCCTTGGCCAATCTAATCTGGGATTCTGCAGTGCAGGCAGGTATCTGTTACAGGAGCTGTGGCACGTGATAGGGCAGAGTGGATGGGGGCCAGAAAGACACGACTGGGGGGGTGGGTCTGGTAGGTTAGATGGGTGGGGCATAGAGCCAGAACTCCTGGGGTCTTTTCCCAGCTCTGGGAGAGGAGGGGGGCTGGTAGGTTAGAGTTCAGGGAAAGGGCAGGTTGCCAGGACTCCTGAGTGCTGTCCCTGGCTCTGGGAGGGGCATGGGGGCTAGTAGTTAGAGTAAGGGAGGCTGGGAACTAGGACTCCTGGGTTCTCTCCCTGGGTCTGGGAGGGGAGTGAGGATTGGTGAGTTAGAACTGGCAAGGGTGCAGTGGGGGAGCCAGGACTCCTGGGTTTTGTCTCCAGTGGTTAGAGCTGGACAGAAGCATAAACACAGTGCGGAAATAACTTTCCCCTTGCAAGGCAGGACTGAGTCTGTGGTGGAGTCAGTCTGGATAGAACTCCGGATGCCTGCTGGTAGGAGTTGCTGTTACCCTCCATTGACAGAGGGAACAACACAGCCAGGGTCTGCCAAGCACTCAGTGCACTTCCTCTTCCTCCTGGTTCTTCACCTGAGTTGAGGAAAGGGGAGGGAGGTCTGTGTGGTCCCCACCACAGGGCCTGTGCACAGGTCTCACTTCCTGGTTAGTTTCACTTTCAGGGCTGCCTTGCTTGATTCTGATTTAGGTGGATTGTCTTAAAAAGTTCCCTTGAGTGAGATCCAAGGCAAGGGGAGAACCACGGTGGGTGGTGCTTGGGCGGGTGGCTGATGGGGAAAGGAAAACAGGGTGAATGTGTTCAGTCTCTTGCGTTGCAGTGTCTAGAGGCTTTGACTGGGGCTGGGCTCTGTCGTAGTGCAGGTTGTTCCCTGCCCTTCAAGTCTCACTAGACCAGTTTATTGCCCTGTGTCTCAGATAGGAAAACTGAGGCACGGGGAATGACAGCTTCTGCCGGTGTGAGCTAGACTTTTACCTGCCTCCCAGAGCTCCCAACTCTCACCACCAACTCCCACTCCTCTCCCAAAGCCAGGAGAGAACCTGTTCAGGCTCCCAGCCCATCCTCTGCTCTAATGCTTTACAGGGCAGGGCAACACAGAGCTCCTGGCATAGGGGTGGGAGAGAGAGTACATGGTAGGAACGGAGTGTGGGGGGGGAGATTAGTGAGGATGAAGGGGATACCTGAAGTAGAAGTTGGCCATACATGGAGTTTGTGGGAGGCCCCCTCCCTGTGTGTCTGTGTGGGGCTGTGCTGGGTCCTGGGATTATCAGGAGATGGGGGGGCGGGCGGAGGGTTAGCAGTTGGGCTCTCCTCCCGGCTATGACAGCCTGTCCCGCTTTGCTCTTGTGGCAGGGGATCCAGTACCAGACGGTGCGCTACGACGTCCTCCCCCTCTCTCCTGCCTCACGGAACCGGCTCAGTAAGTCTCCCTGCCAAAGGTGAAAGTGAGCTGGTACGCCCCAGTGTGGCTGGGGCACTTGGCTGCTGGGGGACGGGTGGGGCTCAGCAGCAGGCAGCTTACAGGGGCTGGCTGGAGGTGACCCTCCCTCCTTGACTCTTCTATCCCAGAGGTCAAACGCAGCAGGCTCTGCACTTTCCCTTCACTCCCTAGTCACAGCAAACAGGAAAAACACATGCAGTCTCCCTCTCTTCCCCCTGAATTGTGATAGGAGAGTACTTGTAAAAAATGTGTTACTTTAACCTCTGATACCTGCCCCTTGGCTGCAAGGGGTCCCTGAGGCTGGGCCCCCTTGGTGGCACAGGGCTGCTGGTGGGGAGATGGCCGTTGGAGCGGGAAGAGATGGGAGGGTTAGTGGAGAAAAGCTCAGATTCCTGGGTTCTGGTCCCTGCTTTGGTAATGCCGCTGCCAGGGAGAGAATCCGGGAGTCCTGGCGCTTAGCACTAGACCCTGCTCCCCTCCGAGCCACGGAACAGGAGGGATTCCCTAGATTTCATGAGTTATGGGGTGTCTGCCCTGCAATGGCTGCATCTAAACCATACCAAAGATTAGGGAAGTTTAAATACATTTGTGTAAACATGTAACAGCTGTGTTTTTTCAGTGGTTAAATGTTTACATGCGGGGAGGGGGAGGGGTGGGGAGAGGGGAAGGAGCCAGTGCTTGTGGGGGGAGGAAGCAGGAGCTGGTGCTTGCAGGGAGCGTATGCCTGCTCCTCCCCCATGCTGCTTCCTCTGTATCAGAGGCAGCTTGTGTGTAACTGTAAGGGTTAACCAATGAACCCAGGCTCATCGGTCAACCCTGCACTAGGGTACATGCTCACATCCCTACCACAGGTAAGTCTAATGGTGGGGCAGCCCTGCCAGGGGGCTGCCTGTTATTCAGGGCTGACTTTGATTGGGTGGAGGCCCCCTCTGACAGCTGTCCTCTCCCTTCCCCTCCCCCCAGACCAGGTGAAGAGGAAGATACTGGTCCTCGACCTGGATGAGACATTGATTCACTCCCACCATGATGGGGTGCTGCGACCCACAGTGCGGCCAGGGACGCCTCCTGACTTTATCCTCAAGGTAAACTGGGGCCAGCAATGAGGAGTTCACTGCCTGGCCAGTGGGGGGGGTGGGAAAATGGCCTCTTGGCATGAATGAGATTCAGCCCCTGAGCACTGTGCAACCCCCTAAGCCATCCTTTTCGCGCATATGGCCCTCTTTTCAGTCTATTGAAATTTTACAGACCTCCCCAAACAATTTAGCTGTTTTCAAACCTTCCATTACTTGAGAATCATTTGAAATGTATAATAGTTCATGTTATCTGAACAAATATAGTAGCACTGAGAGAGAATGCAGGGTGTCCACGTAGAAATGTAACAACTTTGAGGTGCTGTATATTTTTTTTTTATTGGATCCACTGATCTATTTTTTCTAGCTGCCCAACTAAACCCTTCAAGCTGCTCTAACAGCTTTTGAACGGTTAGAATAGGGTGACGTATTCACATAATATGATCGTTTCAAAAGAGAAAACATGGTAAAAGGTGACTGACCCATTTCTAAGCTGACTCCAGAGGACAGTGTGGGTGAGGGACATGTGGACTGCAGGGCATGGAGCTTCTCAGCTCCCATTGGCTGCTGTTTGCTGTTCACAGCCAATGGGAGCTGAGAGGCTCTGTGCCTTCAAGCAAACAAACCCAGACTCTGCAAGCAAGTGTCCCAGCAGAGTCCACAGCATGTCCCAGGGTTGCTGCCCAGCCCAGCAAGGCAAACCACTGGCGCACCCGGACTTTTTATCCATGTAGTGCGTCTGCAGGCTTGGCGCCTGTCAGTTTCCAGTCCCTGCCTTTCACCATTCTGGGTCAAGGGAAGCAGCAGCCAGCATGACCCTTGGCCTGTGCTGCTTCCTCAGCTTCTGCCCATCCACGGAGGATATGGTGAGGGGGCTCTCGTGGCCAAAGGCAGCTCCTGCCCTGGCACTCCACCCTTGGCTGGGCATGGAGCCCTGGGAGAGGGAAAGAAAAGTGTAAATGGCAGTGCAGCTTCAGTGGGAGGGCGGGTGGTCATGAACGGTGAGTCCTGGGAGAGAATTGCCTGGTGGAAAGCCCCAGTTCTTCAGTGGGCCTGATCAGTGTTCCCTGTAAGTCAGTGGTCTCCAACCTTTTTACACCCAAGATCACTTTTTAAATCTCAGAACAGGTGAAGCTCTACCGCCCCGCCCCTTCCTTGAAGCCCCGCCCTCTCTATTCTCCTCCTGTCCATCACTTGCTATCCCCAGCCCTTACTTACACACTCTGATAAACAGTTTATTTTAAAATTATGCGATATATAACATTAAAACACGTGTTTATAGTTATGAAATAAATGGTCTGTTTTTTATTCATGCTATTTAAATCTAAAATGAAGCATTTATAATTATACATTTTGTGGGGACAGAGTTCTGCGGCTGGGGGCAGGGGAGAGGGAACAGGGTGCTGGGAGGGCAGAGGACAGGGTTCTGTAGCTGAGGATGGGATGGGGACAGAGTTCTGTAGCTCGGACAGGGGAGGAGGGTCTGGGGAGTGCGGACGGGGTGGGGTGCCAGTGGCAGCAGAGTCCCCTGCATCTGCCGCCTCCTAGGATTCCCTACCCCCTCCAAGGGAAGCCAGCATGTGCCTTCTCCGGGCCTGACTCCCCCCTGCGGCGCAGGGAAACTCTGTGTGTGCCTGCCCCAATG